TCTCTTGGTCTTTTCTTCTCCTCTGTCTTTGTAATGACCTTTTCTTCCTGGATGATATTCTTGATGTCTTCTCACAGCTCATCTGGTCTTTGCTCATTTGTGTTCAAGGCTTCGAACCTGTTCCTGAGATGGTTCTGAAATTCAGATGAGATAGACTCAAGGTCAAATTTTGATTCCCGTGGACTTCATTTAATTTTCCTTAGCTTCAGCTTGAACTTGCATATTAATTGGTGATCCGTTCCACAGTAAGCATCTGGCCTAGTTTTCACGGCTGGTATTGAGCTTCTCCAGTGATTCTTTCCACAGATGTAATCAATTTGATTCCTAGTATCTCCTGAAGAAATTTGTTAATTGGAAGAAAAAAAACCTCAAAATATTGTACATCTTTGAAATAATGATATGAAATGAATGAGTGCAGTTTTAGTTAGAATACTATTAACAGAGAATTAAAAACCTTCATTTAGTACTTAGATTTAGAATCACTTTAATTTTAAGCAAAAATGAAAAAAAAAATTTAGGCTGCTTTTGGCCATTGAATCTTGAATATTCCAGCCCTTGCTTATGCGTATTAGTATATGTGAGCCAATCTTTCTGCTTGAAATGAGAGTAAGTTTTTTGATTTAAATAACTTGATAATAATTTTGTGTTTGATTACAGTTCTGTATCTTTGTATAAATATTAGGAGATTTCTAATTTTTTTTCTGCTTGACAGGCAGTGTATCACAATGTGAAACTGGCAGCTTTTCAGCAGCAGTTAGAAAACATTCATCTTCAACAAGACAAAGCAGAAGCATTTCTCAGTGTTTGGTCTACAATGGGTCAAGAAACAGTTGAAAAGTTCAGGCAGAGAATTCTGGCTCCCCATAAGGTATAGATGATACTACCCTACCCTAAGGAAAATGTTCCATAATGTATAACAAATTATTATATCTAAAGGTGAGATTATTTGAAGATATTATTTAATGATTAGATCTAAAGGTGATAGCATTTTAAGTTTTTAAAGAGATATTATATTATTGGGGGTAGAATCAGGCAGACAAAAGCATATGGATTACATATGAACAATTGAGATTTTCACCTTTGACTATTCTCAAGAATTCTTTTGTGAACATTGGTGTTTTTGCTTGAACAACAACAACAACAAATCATTGAATTATGTACCTAGAAGTGGGATTGTTTGGTCCTGTGGTAGTTATATGCTTAATTTTTTTTTCTTATGAGGAACTACTAAGCCATTTTTCAAAGCTGCTGCATCATTTTACATTCCCATGAGCACTGAATGAGGGTCCAGTTTTTCCATGTCTTTGCAACCACCTGTTACTGTTGACCTTTGAACAACACAGGTTAGAACTGTGTGGTCCCACTTACACATATTTTTTTTTCCTTGTTGTTATTGTGGTAAGATGGAGCCCTGGTAGTAAAATGGAATAAACATTACCTGTTAGCCAAAAGTTCAGAAAACTTAAGACATTCTACTTTTGTAAGACTTACGGACTCTCAAACCCTATTGGGAAATTCTATTCTGTCCTGTTGTAATATAGTCAGAACCAACCCATGCCTGATCCCCTGGTGGATTTTCAGAAGCAGTAAATTGCATGAGAGGAGATTGATTGCCCATCTTTTTCCTGTTCAGAAGCTGGTGGATTTAAACTGCATGCTTTTGAATTGGCTGTGCAACTCTTTACCACTCACTAAGCCACCAGACTTCCCTTATTCTGTCTTATAGGGTCTCTAGTACCAAAATTTATTCAGTAACAGTAATCCCTGGGATTGAGGTGAGCTCATGTGTTGTGAGTAACTGCTAAAAATGCCATGTGAACGATACTGGAGAAAAGAGCTGTTCACATGGAGGTGATTGATGTCTTCTAGTGCTTTAAGTGGATCCTAGCAAAACTTGAGTTTACCACAACAGGAAAATAAAATTTAGATTTTATTAGATCTATGTGTCTTTCTTGAACAAATGTCTTGTCATATCCTTTTTCTATATTAAATTGAGTTTGTTGTTGTTATGTGCCATCGAGTACCCTGCGACTCATAGTGATCCTATGTCCAGAAACTCTGAAGCCTGCCCTGACCTGAGCCAGTCACACTGATTCTGACACATCTACCCCACATTGTCCTAGTTACTGTTTTAATCCATCTCATTTGGGGGTCTTCCTCTCCTGTGCTGTCCCTCTACCCTTTTGAGTATGATATTCTTCTCCAAGGATCGATCTCTCCTGGCCACATGCCCAAAGTATGTGAGACAGAGCTTCAAAATTCTAGCCTCAAAGGAGAAACTTGGTTTCATCCTCTCTAAGATAAATCTATTTTAGTTTTCTTGTTGGTCCATGGTATGTTCAATACTCTTCTCCAGCACAACTCCAAGGCATCAATTCTTCTTCTGTCGTCCTTAGTCATTGTCCATGTCTCTACATGTAGCAAATAATTGCAAAGACCATGGATTGGATCAGGTGCACCTTAGTCTCTAGACTGGTGTCGTTGCTTCTCAACACTCTGGAGAGGTCCCTGACAGCAGATGTACCTATACAATTCACCTTTTGATTTCCTGATTGATGGTGCCAATAATGTTGATTGTGGAGCCGAGCAAGCTGTAACTGTTGATAACCTCAATCTTTTCTCTATCCATTATGGTGCTGCCAGTTGGCCCAGTGATGAGAATCTTTGTCTTGATGTTGAGCTTCAATCCATATTGAAGACTACAGTCTTTGACCTTCTGCAGCTAGTGCTTCAGGTCCTCCTCAAGCAAGGTTGTATTATCTCCATAACATAGGTTGGTGATGAGTCTTCCACCAGTCTTGATCCTCATAAAGCTCAGCTTCCTGAGTACTTTCTTTTTATTGCAGAGGATATTGTTATGTACCATTAAGTCGCTTACAACTCATAGTGACCCTATGTACAATAGCTCTGAACCCTGTCCTTTCCAGAGCCAGTCTCACTGACCCTGACACACCTAATCCCATTAACCCAGTTTATTGTTTCAGTCTGTCTCATCCAGGGTCTTCCTCTCCTGCGCTGTTGGTCCACCCTTCCAAGCATGATGTCCTTCTCTAGGACTGGAGTTTTTAATATTCTTATTTACCTATTTCATATCACACGTATTTTCTCCAGTTCTATGTATTGTCTTTTGACTTTTTGATGGTGTCCTCTGAATCGCAAACATTTTTAATTTTAAAGAAATTTAATTCAAGTGATTTTTCTTTGGCCATTTATTCTTATGGTGTCATTTTTTTTTTCAGAAATGTTTGCCTAACTCAAAGTCACAAAGAGACCTTACTTGTATATTATCTTCTAAGAGTTTTGTAACTTTTACATTTTATATTTAGGTGTGTAATCCATTTTGAATTAAATTTTATGTATGGTAATTCAGTATACAGCTCAACTAATTATAAATATTCTTACCCTCTGGGAACCACTTGTCTTTGGTTTACAGAAAACATCCTTTTTGTCCTTCCTTTTTAATCAGGTCATTAAAAACATTTGTAGTCAGAACTTGGAATATAACCCAATTAATAATTTTTATTGCCTCACCAGGGACATTTCTTCCATGGAAGTAGCTCCCCCTACCTTTTTTTTAAAAAAAAAAAAATTGAAGACTATGATGACCCTTAGTGTCATTGGTACTACTGTCTTTATTTCTAACTAGGTATTATAAATTATATCAATATTGCTTTTGGTTCTTTGAAAATGTTAATAAACTAAAAAGTATTAATACTGTTTTAGAATTTTGCTAAAAATTATTTTAGCTTTACAGGGCATTTGAAACAATCCTGAGAAAGCTCAGGGATCTGCTGAACCACAGCTACACAGAACATATCAGCAAACTTTTTCTAGAAATGAACATAGAGTAAATATTTTAAATTTTGGGGGCAATCCAGTTCATTTCAGAATTTTTCAGCTTTGCCATTGTGCTGTGAAAGCAACCACGGGTGATATGTCAGTGAATGGATTGTAGGTCAAATTTGGCACAAAGGCCATAATTTGTTGACCCTCAGCTCTTGATGAATAGAATAAGAACATTTTTGACCTATAAACTAAAAAATTAATTGCCATAAAATCAGAACTAACTCATAGCTTGTCCTCCAGTGAATTTGAGCCACTGGTGGATACGAAGGGCCAGAAAGGCACCACCTTTGGGTTAGCAGTCCAACTCTTTACAGACGACACTGTCACAGCGCCTTGTTGTGCATCATCAAGTCAGAACTAACACATAGCTGAACCTGCGGCGAGTTTTCAGAGGCATTTCATCAGTTGGGAGGAGACTGCCCATCACCCATCCCTTGAACCATGTGCCTTCATGATTGCAGCACACCTTCTTTCCTCTAGGTGACCAGAGCTCAAAACACCTTGTTGTTGTTAAGTGCCGTCAACTTGCTTGTGACTCTTAGCGATCCTATGGACTATAGCTCTAAACCCTGCTCTATCCTGTCCCCAATTTATTACACTTACCCCCACTACTGCACTCGCTGAATCAGTCCATCTCATCTAGGGTCTTCCTCTCTTGCGCTGTCCCTTTACCATCCCAAGCATGATGTCCCTCTAAGGACTGGTCCCTTCTTGTAAAAGCCTGAAGTATGTCAGACAAAGCTTCAGAATCCTTGCCTCCAAGGAGCAGCCTGGTTTCATCCTCATTAGGACAAATCTGTTTATCTTCTTAGCAGTCCATGGTATATTCAATACTCTTCTCTAGCACCATAACTCAAAGGCATCAATTCTTCTTCCATCATCCCTAGTCATTGTATAGCTTTCTTATGCATAGCAAGTAATCGAGAAGACTATGGTTGCTCTTCAGTACACTATAGAGGTCCCTGACAGCAGACTTTCCTAATGCATTTCAATTTCCTGGCTGCTTGTACCAAGAGTGTTGATTGTGGAGCCAAGCAAACTGAACTGTTAACAGTCTTAATCTCTTCACCATCCATTATGATACTGCCAATTGGCCCGGTGGAGAGAATCTTTTCTTTTCTTGATGTTGAGCTTCAATCCATCCTGAAGTCTGCAGTCCTTGACCTACTGCAGCAAACACTTGCTCTTCAGTTTCAGAAAGCAGGATTGTGTCATCTTTATAACATAGGTTGTTGATGTGTCTTCCTCCAGTCTGGATGCCACATTCCTCCTCATAGAACTCAGCCTCCCAGATGATCTGTTCTTCATATAGATTGATAAGGTATTGAGACAGGACACATCCCTGGCATATACCCTTCCAAACTTTGAACCACGCAGTGTTTCCTTTCTCAGTTCTGACGACTGCCTCTTGGTCTAAGTATAGATTTCTCATAAGCACAATCAAATCTTCTGGGATTCCTGATCTTTTCAGAGTTAGCCAAATTTTGTTGTGATCCACACAGTCAAACACCTCTGCATAGTAAATGAAACACTGATAGACTTCTGGTACTCTCCGCTTTTAGCCAAGATCCATCTGACATTAATTATACTATCCCTAGTACCATGGCCTCTTCTAAACCCAGCCTGCACATCTGGCAGTTTTTTGTTGATGTTCTATTCCAGTCATTTTTGGATAATTTTCTATTATTCTTGCATGTGATATAAATGATATTTTTTGTTAATTTCCGTGCTTTTATCAGGTCACCTTTCTTTGGCATGGGACAAATAAGGATCTCTTCCAGTCTGTTGGCCAGGTGGTGGTTCTCCAGATTTCTTGGCACGACTTGATGATCACATCCAGGGCAATATCTGTATGTTGACATATGTCAATTAGTATGCTGTCAAACCCTGGGGCCTTCTTTTAGAACAGCTTAAACTTCTTCCTTCCATCACCACAGGTTCTTTCTCCTACATTGTTTCATGGTATTTTTCTGTGTCTGCCAATTCCTTTTATCTAAAAAAAAAAATTTATGCAAAGTCGTT